TTGTTACATGTATTTGACCAGTCCTCTCAATCATGACCTTTGAAAGTATGAAGAATCATGCTATACTCGCAAAAAATGAAAAACAGGGCTATTTTTAAGAAAACGAAATACCGCAGTAAACTTTTAAAATCTTTGAAGGCACAATTAACCTAAATTTTTATTGGAAATTATCTTTTTTTAAAGCCCAAATCGAATTTGATGAAAATGATTAAAGACATCTTTTAAGTACAAATGTGAGTTGTTCTTATAATGGTTCATGACAACCATTTATAAGAAGGTTGCACTTATCAGAGACTTTCAAAGCAAAGTATCAAACAAAGAAGAACGCTGTTGTTAGACGCCCAAACTCCCCATCCAGCGCCGCAGCCAGTACCAGATGAATGAACGCCTGGCTTCTCCTCCGATGAAGCGCACTACTACTCCGCACTAATCATCGGAAAGCTGCACCTAAGGCTAGCTGGTCCAGGGCCACCAAATAGCTACATTACACTGAGTCAGCAAAATCTTAAAAGGATTAATTATCAATTGTATCCTGCCCAATTACACTAATTGACCAATGTTTCCATCTAAGAAGAGTTGCTGATGCTCGTTCTCTATTCTCAGGATTTTATTGGAGGAACTTTATGCTTTAAATATTGAAAAGAATGTTGCAGAGGGCTGTATGTCAGGAATGAATACTGTTCCTTAATTCTCTGAATTCTAATCTAACATACAGATTCTGACACTGGGAGATTTGTGCGTGTTTGTCTTTAATCCACTTCCACTTCCCAGGGTACCCTAGTAAAGTGCATCTGTACCTAAACACTGGTATCTTTAATGACCCTTTCCAGTGCTCCTCCCATAGACGTTTTGCATTTCTAATTTGCCTGGTACACTAGCAACCAAAGTGCATAACTGAACTGCAAATGGAAGTGCGCTTGCTACTGTAGTGAAATTAGAATTCAGTGAAGGTTATAAAAATATTAAACTTAATATCATATTACAGGAAACGTAAGTATTTTTGATGGGCCCATAATTTTACCACCCCACCTGCTGTATCTGCCACTGAACATGGTTTGGAATATTAATGGAAAACTCCCTCATTATTAAACTGCAGTATTAAAAAGAAATTCCAAAACCACCAAGCGCTTACTACAAAGACATTTTCAGAAACTACCTTAAAAATGTTCTACCATACGGTTCAAAATATAGGCTTAATTTTGTAAAGCTGGAACAAATGGGAAGACCTCCCACTGCCTCAAACAATTCATTAACTCAAAAAGTTTTATTTTCCTTGCACGTAAGAGCTCCAGGGGGAAAATCCAATCTCCTTTCTACAATCTCCATTTAAGTGTGCCTATTCTGCTGAGGTCCAGATCTGAATAATTCAAACCCAGCTCTAATGGGTGATGTGTATCAAGGAGCAAGAGCCAAAACCAAAACTCTGGGCCAATTACTACAGACAGAGGGCACCCGGCCCCTCACCTACTGCAATGCCTCCTATAACAAGCATAGGTCCTAGAAGGGGTTACTAAATGGACTCCAAACCATGAGCCTGAGGGATCATCCATGCATTATACTCCACTATAACAAAAAGTTTAGGCTATGCCTCTATCCAACTGTTGCTTTACTGACTGAGTTTACAAAAGGGAGGTGTTTTTTTTAAGGATCCAGTGAGTAAGTGATCTGTCATGTTCTGAAGAAAACAGCATGACAGGTCAAAGCCTGAACTTCTGAAGCATAATGTAAGGTCTCTTGAATATCAGGTTAATCTGAAAGGTAAGAAGAGCTGTACAAGGTATGGCTCTGCCTGTTACAACCCAGATCTGTGTACTTTAAAAACCTCAGCCTCCATGGGCAGGTATCATCATCATCATCCTTCTCCTCTTCTCTCTCTCTTTCCTTTCCTCCCTGCCTCCCTTCCTCTCTCTTCCAAAGAAAGATTTATAACTGTCTTAACAGCTAGCATATCCCAACAGTTTTCAGAAATGGAAGAAATGCACTAGTCATGTCTTTTTCAAGAATGTTGTGACATTCTGTGTGGTAAGCAGGGAGACAGTGGTAGTATTTTAAGTCAATTTGATGGTCATATTTTTATAAATTGTATTTGAAAATTTACTTGTAACATCTCATTATATAAAACAGACACCTATTTTATAGAAAGAAAAAATTATTAATTTCTTCAAAAATTCTGAAAGGTTCATCAATTAATAAAATGTATAAGATTAACTGGTTTCTAAAAAGGTAATTAAAATATTAAACTATCCATCGTCAACAAAAACTACTCAGTTTTTGACAAAGCTGGTGGAAGAATAATGCAATCCCACTCATGCACATTTTCAATAATGTAGTATCTGTAGATATTCTGTGAGATGAACGCTATTTCCCCCATTTTACAATGAGAAAAGTACAACCTACACAGATTAATAGGTTAGCCAAAGATCAGCCAGCTGGCTAAAGAATAGAGCTGAGCTTCCTGCTCTAGGTTCCTGACCTCAAATCCAGTGAACTTTGACCAGAGTGTGTAAAGCCACAGTTGGCTGTGTGTGCTTCTGGGGAGAAAGGAAAGGTGGCTGTTGGACAATGTACTTGTGGGGACACCTCTCCAAAGAAGCCAGTGAACTCTGACTCACTACAGTGTTATCATGTGGCTGTATTTCAAGAGGACCTTTGGACAAGGACAATATTTCTTATCCTAAGGTATGCGTATCTAATAAATGATGTAGTCGCCCCTCGGCTCATCAAACTGAATGAAGCCCATGGGATTAGCCTCCTTTCCCAAGCGGGGTGGCTGTCCTGGAAATGCACTGATATCTGGCTTCCCCAGGTTCTCCCACAAGCACTGAGATAAACACCAAAGAAAAACAAAGCAATCTTTTTTCTTTCATAAATGTAACTGTCTCATCTGGGGGAAGGCCTATAGACACATGGACATTTCTGTATTCAACTGTTATATCCCCCCAATACATTATATTTTCAAGCCCTCTGTAAGTGTGGTCATCCCCTAACTCTACCAAGGCAAGGCAGGGTCACAGAGAGAGCACTGCATGGATCAGGAGCCAACACACTTGGCTTCGCATGTGAGCTCTACCACTAATCAGTCACATGGACCCTCAGTGCGTCATATACCTGCTTTCTCATCTGGAAAGGGAAGGCCAGAATCACAAAATCTTAGCCTTCCTTAAGTAGTTAATTCAAAATAAATGCTAAGAGGCAGTTATTACTTTTTTAAAAATCCATGATACAGGAGATGCTCTTTCTGAAAAGACAGACAAACCCGTATTTGTATTTAATTCCAGAGGGCACACCTATTCTGTACAACTCTATTGAGATTATTTTGTTCACAAAACCATGTTGCTTTATTCATATTTACTTTGAATACTGGACATTTTTATCTACCAACAACCTTGTTCAAATCTGATACGAACAAGAAAATTGAGGGGAGGGAGAATGGTTAAAAGAGGCGAATGAAAGATTTCAGCTCCCATGATTTTAACAGAAAAATACGTCACATGGATCCAGAAATGCCAGCACCGGGGGCTGCTCCTTTCTTGCAGCACACTGCAGTGCACACAGCGTGGACCTCAAAGCCAGAAAGAAGGGGCCACACTCTGGCTTTGTCACTTGCCAGCTTTGTGATCCTGCAACCACCAAGTCTCCTCCTTGGTAAGCTGGAGGTAATAATGCATCCCTCATGGGGCAGACAACAGCAATGAGATGACACAGAATATATGCAGATCCAGCACAGAGGAACCTTCAATCAATTCTGCTTTCCACCCTTTCAACTGCTCCTGGACAAGAACCTGCTTCAAGAATCAAGAGCAGGACTTGTAAGTTCAGGGAGAAGCACACATGGGGAGAGCTGGTATGGGTGTGCCTTAATGAGACACCCAGGGACTCAGGGAATAGAAGTTTGCAGAAACGATCAGATAATGAAACACCTTGTATCTTTCAAAAGAAGTGAATCATTTTCTTTTAGGTGTCAAATGAATGGCCAAATATATCGCAATCAAAATCTATCATGGAAAAAGCCAGATAGGTACTCATTTCAAATGAGTAGTAGCTTCTAATGATGCAGAAGCCTCTGTGACATTAAATCACCTAATATTTAAAGGATAAGTACACGCTTCCCCATGGTTCCTTCTTGACTCCAGAAGTTCTAATGAACTAAAAGTTTATTCCATTTCTAAAAAATAAATTTAAGCTCAAACTCATCATCTGTACTTCCTTAGTTCTGAAACCCAACTCTCAATTTGGGTACTTTACCAGCCTATTTTCCAAAGCTGGACTTTGAAAAATATGTGCACTCTCAGACAGAAGCGGGGTGCCTTCAGACATGCACAAAACTTACACCCATGAATATATTTCAATGTCTTTTGTCCTCATCTCCCGTAACTTTTCACAATCAGTAAAATGCAGTTACCAATCACTGGAAATGACATGAGCTTAATGTTAGAAATCATTCCACTTAAATAAGAAAATAACTCTATTTAGCCCTCTCCCACAAACTAAAATTATGTTTGTGTAGCCTTTTTAAAAATTTATTGCCAAAGGGCAGATTTAATTTCAAGGGAGTGAAAGCCAAATTTATTCTGAAGTCAAGTCTAAAGTTACCACTTTAATTTTGCTCTGCTGAGGTACAAAAAGCTGCAAGCATCAAAACAAAAAGGCATAAATTACGGAAAACAAAAGTGACAGGGACCACCAAGATTTTTGTTGTTGTTGTTGTTTTGTTGTTTTTTTTTTTTAAGACGAGATCTCACTATGTTGTTCAGGCTGACCTTGAATTCACTAGGTAGAGCCGAGGCTGGCAACTGTCCTGCCTTAGCCTCTCAAGTGCTGAGACTACAGGTGTGTATCCTAGCTGGACCATCAAGCTTTTTAGTGAGGGCAGAAGGCTGGGAAAGGTAGAGAAAAGCCTATGACCTTACTGTGCTCTACTGCAAATCCAAGCTTTAAGAAAGCCCACTGGCTCCAGGGTCTTCTGGCCCTGCTCCTTGACCTCCAGTTTCCATACTTACCGGACACATTGATTGAAGCCCCAGCGTCAATGATCCCACTGTTGGGCCGCACACAGTACCTACGTGGTGCTGTGGTCTTCACTTTGAAACACACATTGCGGTCTGTTGGGTTGCCAAGCTTCAGGTTGGTGGTGACAACATCAGTGAAGGGACCTGAGGAGTGAGAAGGATCTTGTGAGGAAAGCTCAAAAGGCTGATTACATGTATGGCAGGAGGGATCTGGAACACAGTTAAGGGAAGGTCGAATTATCTCATTACCATGTAGATAGATGGGAGAGATGAGGTTAATGCGCTAGTAGCAACAGGTATTATCATGTTCTCCATACTTCCCAAGGTGCCCAGTAAACATCCTGACACATAGCATCACACTGAAACTTTACTGCTCTTTTAAAGATGGCTAGAGAAGACAAGTTGCTTGTCCCATTTTCATACTAGTTAGTGGTAGCAAGGATCTGCAACTAGAAGGCCTCAATTCAAGGCCAGTTCTTACCTAAACTAACAACAGCAAGATAAAATCTAACAGGGAACATAAAGGAATAGACATGGGTCCCAAAAAACTCTTTTATTGGGGGGGGCGGTATACTGGAACTCAGGACCCTGTGCTTGCCAGGCAGGCACTTGCACCACTGAGCTATATTCTCGGTCCCCAAATAACTCAAATGCAGAGTGTGCCAAGAGTACCAGATGTCAGAAAGAATTTGGAGTATAAATGGTCTATGAACACAGAAACCCGTAACAACACAGTACTGCTGCCAGGAAAGTTAGTATCATCTTACAACTACACCAAGAAGTTCAGAGCCCTGTTGGACAGCCCACACCTGACATATCACATTCACTATCAACTACTCAGGCTATTGGGAGGATTGAAACAAAGCTCTGTGCCCTGAGGATATTTTTATTACTATTATTTATTCATTTCCTACTTTATTAGTTTTAATTAAAAAGTAAAACACGCTTCCTAAACCAAACAATAAAGGATGTATAAAAAAGAAGTTAATAAGCTTTCTTCTGCCTCCTGAGGTAATATTAACCATCTGAGAGACATTTCCACATCATCTATGCTTACCAACAAAGTACACATACCTATGTACACACATACGAGGGGTTAACAAGAACGAGAACTGACTATTCACACTAATCTTACAAATGCTTTTTCATTTCTCACTCTACAATGACTATCTAATCACTAGGTTTAGGGGATCAAGCGGGAGGGGTTCAATTACAAAACCTTTTCCGTTCTTCACATGTTTACATATTTTCAATATGTGATTCATATCTTTGTGATTCCTACTTTTGCATTTATAAGGAAGCAGAAGTTGGGGTGGGGAGGAATGTATGCTCCTATGATCACAAAGAAATACATAATGGTTCATTTACCCCATTTGCGAAGAACCAACGAAGATATTTAAATCTGTGCTTTGAAAATTCTTTTTTTTTTTTTTTGAAAATTCTTTACTCAGAGGAAGAAAGGTTGGAGGGAGGGAGGGGAATGGGGGAAAAAAGAATCAAGATATATTATGTATAGCTTCAAATTCCCTATGATGAATGTGATCAATATATAAATCAAAAGTGTACCAATTAAATTAGCTTTTTAAAAAAAGAAAATTCTTCATTCAAATTCTAAGCCCTTGAGGACAAAGGTTATGCACAATCCATCCCTGTATCCTCAGCACTGTGCCTGACATCAAGTAAAGGTCTCGATATGTGTATATATTCACCAAGAAAGACACTACCTGTGGATTATCTCTAGCAAAATTAAAATCTCAGGCTGGTTTCCTCTAGAGGTGCTCAGAGTATGAAAAATCAATTGGATATGGGTTTAACTTAAATACATATTAAAAAATCAATAATGGTGGACAGGAAGAAAGGAAAGGGGACTCAATTCCAAAAATCAAATAAAGTACAGCCAATTCTGCTACAAGAAAACACAAATTTGTCCAAATGTGATTGATGTGCATATTAAGGGGACAATCTGAGCATAAAACGATTTTCACATTTGCTTATGAATAATTTTGTCTGCAAAAAACCTTAGGCAAACACAGAAAACTGCACCCTGCTCAACCTAGCTGCCAAGAAATATGATACACACACACACACACACACACACACACCTACCTCAACCACCTATATACAAGCTATCTCAGTTTCTGTGGCTCAAGTCATGAGCCAGACCTGGTATTGCAATTTTCCACTGATTTCCGGCAATTTTCCTTCCTCCCCGTCACTGTGACTTGCAGACTGCAACTATGCTGACACCACCTCTACAGGCAAACTCCAGGTCTTTTTCCAGGTAAAATGTCATCTCTACTGTACCAACTGCTGCTCTTCTTAGGCTCCTATTTTGTGTAGGCATCACCAACAGAATCATTGAGTACTGTAGATCTAACCTTGTTCCTCCCTTCACCCTATGGTTTTTACCGCACTATGTGGTATGGTATGGTAATTTTATATACATGCTGCATTACAGTAGAATTGACTATGCTACTGAATCATCTATTATTCAGAGATTACTTATACTGAAAGCTATTTTCATCCCATGAGAATTCACCTTCAAGAATGAAATGCCTAGAAAGAATTTATCATCTTTCCAAGAAACCTTCCTTCAGTGCCCTAGGAATTAGGTTGGAAGAGAGAAAGGTTCTTGACAGGTCTGGAGGTGTAACTACAGCCAGACATAGAGAAAGGCAAAGTCCTTAGTATTTCACCTCAGCTACCAACTTCACAAACAAGCCTCTCTCTACACTCGAAGTCAGCTCCTTACTAAGAACATATGAGAGCTGGTACCCTGTGGCCCAAAGGATTTTCAGCTACCATGAGGGACAGCCAGGTGCTGACAATGCTCCACCCTTGCAACAAGTTCTTGGCATCAAGAGAGAAACGGGATACTTGGTGCTGAGACAGTATCCAGGGGGATTATGGAGGCGGCAGCTCTCTGGGACTCAACTCTGTTCCACTCTCCAATGCATATGGTCTGACTCATAAGGAAGATGGAGAAAGTCCGACTCTGCATCAAGTCTCTGACTTGCTTAAGGTGGGGATCATCTCAGCAAGCACAGACTAAAAGAAGATTAGCTACACACAAGGCCAAAGAAAGCAATAAGGCATACAAACCTACACAAACACAAACAAATGACCACACACATATATTCCCTGCCTCTCACATAAACCCAGCCAATCATAACTCCATGTAAGCAAGGCACAGCTCGAGTTGCTCTTTATTGCTGGGGGCAGAAAAAGAAAAGGTGGACAAAAACATGTGTCTACAAAAGTGACACTTGAAAGAGATCAGCTTTCAAATATAAAACCTAGGGGAAAAAAGGAATTCAATAGTGGACTATATGTGAGTCAAACACTATCAGTCCTCAAAGATTTCTAGATATAAGCTCAAGGTCATTAGCTTCAACAAGATTCTGCCTCAAGAACACGGAAGAGTCACCAGATCATAAGGCCAAGAATATATAATGGCCCTAAACACATACATACTTTTCAGTGTGGTACAACTGAGAGTATTTATGAGTTCCAATCCAACTCTAGTGTCTCTTCCTCCTACTCCCTTATGAGGATGGGTTGGGGGAGCCCAGGTTTAAGTAACTCATTATCCATTACATCAACCTCTTCTAAGCACTCTACAAAATTAAGGCAAATTTAACTGTAAACACTAACTTGTCTGGAGAAATTTCCCCAGTACATCTCTTACATAGCAATCTAAGCAGCATCCCAATTTATACATGAATCACATTAAAGAGTCTAACTTTTTAGAAGACAAGTAATATTTGCAAAAAGCAGGATAAAACAAACACCTCCTCTTTCTCCTTAACACTCAATCCTAGGTCTTTATGTACCAGGGCTTCTTAGACCCAAGTTTTTACTTATAAAAACCTAGAAAGAGTAAAATACTGAAAATATATGCAACAGAACAACATTATTGATAAAACAGCAAACTTTCTCTCCACTCTGGGCAATTTACTATAAGAATTTTATTGAAAATAAATCCCATTCGATTTGAGTAATTATAGGAGATAAACCATGTTAGTGTCCTCCTTTTCCCGTTTTAATGAATTAGGATACACAAAAGCCTCAATAAAAATGACATAAAGGCTTATGAACATCATTCAGATTTTTACTAGTCACTTTCATTTCATAAAACTGCCATTTCCATTAAAGCATTATGTAAAAAATGGGATTTTACTATGCAAACACACACATTTATCACCAATGAATTTAAACACTGCTTATAAAGTACAAAGTCAATTTTACAAATGAAATCTCCTTCAAAAGTTAAAATTTTTCTTTCAAGAGTAAAAAAAAATGATTTGTGCCTCTAGAAGCACACTTACTTTTAACCATTTTTCTAATTTTTTATTCCTTATTCAGATGTCTAGACAAAATTAGAAACTAAGCATCTCAAATATGAAATAGGAGGTAAAATATGAAGCAACATGAATTTGGGAGTAATTAAAAATACTCTTTAAAATTTTTATTCTTCTGTTTAACAATCTGAATAGTTGCAAGCAAGGAGGAGGCTGACGACTGCAGCAGCGGAGCAACGCCTAAATCAAGGGAACTTGTTTCTTCAAGCTCTTTGGGCGCTTGAAGAAGTCTCTGACAATGAAGTTGACAAAAAGTTAAAGAGGAAAAAGCAAGTTGCTCCAGAAAAACCTACAAAGAAGCAAAAGACTGGTGAAACTTCAAGAGCTCTGTCATCTTCTAAGCAGAGCACCAGCAGCAGAGATGATAACATGTTTCAGATTGGGAAAATGAGATATGCCAGTGTTCAGCACTTTAAAGGGAAAGTTTAATTGATATTAGAGAATACTGGATGGATCCAGGAGGTGAAATGAAACCAGGAAGAAAAATATTTCTTTAAATCCAGAGCAGTGGAGCCAGCTGAAGGAGCAGATTTCTGACATTGATGATGCAGTAAGAAAACTGTAGAACCTGAGCCATAAAAACCTGTATTGTTCTAGTTGTTTTACTTTGTCTTTTTACATTGGGTTTTGTTTTCTAAACGTTGTTTTTCAAGCCGTTGTATATTTGGATTGCAGAACAATTTGTAAGATGAATACTTTTTTTAATGTGCATTATTAAAAATGTTCTGAGTGAAACTAATTGTCAGCTTTATTAAGGAGGATTGCTTTGTGCCCACCACTCACTGTAAAATAAAATCAAGTAATTTCACTTGTTTAAAAAAAAAAACCAATTTGAATAGTGCTCTTTATGACTTATACACACATTCACCTGTGAAAATTTACCTGCATTTGATGTAGACACTCATGAGATGGTATTAACTAACTGAACATGAACTTCCTGATGTGCTCTAAAAGATAAAGCAAGGCACAGCATAAACTAGTTCTTCCACCTTACCTCAGGCCCTACTGCTTGGCTTTTTGTCCTTTTAAAGTATATTTCTTAAGAAAGTAGGAAGCCCTAGAGCTGACCTGTTTTAAAAAGCAATTTGAGTAATAATACACAGTATTACAGTAATGATATACAGAAATGTGCATACTATTAAAAGCAAAAGGAGAAAAGATTATGTCTCAGTTACAAAAATGGAACCTTAAAAGTTATAAAGTGGTGACTTAAAGACCAAAGAAGATGGCCACAATCCAGCAAACTTCTCAACCCTAAGAGGACAGGTTCTGGGTGTTGAGTATTATTTTAAAAATGACTAGATAAATGTATCAATCAGGAAATCTAACAGGATTCTGTGGAAAAAGTATTCCGTTAACTCCTTAGTATTTTCCTGGTATGTGCATGGTTTAAGCACTTCTTGTCTGTAATCATTCAGAGACACATGACTAACACAAAACTCATCCTTTTAGGAACTGTAAGTATCATCTTTATGAAAGAATAACTTAAAGAGTTTGTGCCTACCAACTATAAAAGGAAAGAGTGAAAGCTCCCAGTAAACTCAAAACTCAGCCTGGCCCTTTCCTACCTGTATGACTCAAGCACATCATATTGACTTATAGCCAAGCTTTGACTTGGCTAACTCCATCTTGCCTTTCTGAATTGTTCTTTCCTTGATTTATTCTCACCTGCAGTCACCCTGGACTCCACAAACATCTTGTGACTAGAGCAGAAACTACACCTAGACAGTAGCAATTTTCTTACCACCAACGAAGCCCTGCTTGACTATCCTAAGATAACAAGGTAGACCATAGTCTGACTAAGATACCATTTACGCAAGCTTCCAATCTTTGGTCCAATTCCTCCCCTATATAACCCAACTAGCCCAGGGATACAGCTCAGCAGTGCAGCACATGTCTGGCAAGCAGGAGGTCCTGAGTTTGATTCCTGATACCAAAAAAAGAAAAAAAGAAAAGAAAACCAGCAACCTGACTGCTTGCTGTTGGTACCTGGGAGAAACAGATTTTAAGTCACTACACTGCTGTTTTTCTTCCCACTTTGATAATAAATTCCTTTCCTGCCTTGACAACTACTCCTCTTTTCAAGTGGCCTGTGGGGTGGCTGAACCTGATCCACTGGAACCCCCAGAGTTGGGATTCTGTTAGGATTCCAGAAACCGTACCAACTATTTATTAAATTACAGGATTCAGTGTTTTAATGAGTAAATATATAATTTTATTTTTAACTCACAGATTCATTTCTAATGTATTTATAATACTAAACTATAAAACTCCTAAAATATAATCTATAAAACTTTAGATACAACAACAAAATCATAATTTACAAAAGAAATAAATGATGAACTGGACTTCATTAAAAAAATTTTTTAAAACATCTGCTGCAACAGTGTCCAGGGGATTACAGAGGCAAGGTCAAGAGGATGAAAGGACAAGCAAGCCACAGACTAGGGGGAAATACTTGCAGAAGACATATGTGAAAAAGATCCATCAACCAAAATACATAAAGTTCTTAAAACTCAACGATAAGAAAATGAACAACATGATTTAAAAGTGGCTACAGGATCTGCACAGATTTCTCATCGAAGATGTATAGAAGGCAAATAAGCACATGAAAAGATGTTTTTATCACATGTCACTAGAAAGTTGCAAGTTTAAAAAAATGAAATACAACTATGCACTTATTAGAATAGCCAAAATCTAAAGCTCTGACAACAATAAAGGCTGGAAAAGTTGTGGAGCAACAGGAATTTTCATTTACTGCTAACAGGAACGTAAAATGGTACAGCCACTTTAAAAGATGGCCTGGCAGTTTCCTATAAAATTCAACATATTCTCACCATACAAGCCAGTAATCACTTTCCTTGGTACTTACCCAAATGAGTTGAAAACTTATGTCCACACAAAAACCTGCACACAGATGTGTATAGCAGCT